TTCAAGGGCTCTGCTAGCAATGTTTCTAGAATCTGATATCCTCTGAAGACCACAATGTGGTTCACCTCTCAAATATCTGAGAATATGTGAACAGGGGAGCCCACATGAATATTATCCACAGAAAACATGAAAAGTTAATAATCTAATAGTTTTATTAAAATTGTTTTTTTAAGTACTAACTCTACTTAATGGCTGGTAGCAAGATTAATAAGTAATGCTATACACAAAGACTGTTGAGGATAGGGCTGTAAGAGGAATCACATAGCAAAAGCAAATACCTTTACAACCTCTGTTTGTCAAAATCCTACTCTGCCTTTCAGGCAAAGTTCAAATTGTACCTCCTCCAAGGTACAAGAATTCTTACTTAGTCTCTTCAGCTGCTTCTAATCTTTCTCATTGGTGCTCCCAAAAGATCTCATTATCTTTATTAGGGTACTTAATATACATTCATCAATGCATTTGACAAACATTTGCCTATGAAACCTCGTATAGAGGATGGCAAAGATGAGTAAGACAGTGCTCTCAAGAGGCTCAAAGCTGAGTGAGTTGTCTTGTGCCATAATTGTTTATTATCTGTCTCCCTCCAGTTGAGGGCAGAGACTTGGTTTTGTTCATTCCTGTATTCCCAATATTTAGAAGAGTGCCTGGCACATGGTGGATGCTCAATAAATACTGAATATGAAATTATATAGTTCTTTGCATACATCTATTTTTTATTAAACTATTACAGATAGGTGATGGTTTTATCTTTTATCTTTCTCACAGCACCTGGCTTTGTGTCTTGAACATAGCAATGTTTGCCACTGAACTGTAATTTTCAATTCATCCTTGAGTGGATTTGCTAAATTATTAAAGTTTGCAGTTTCTGCACTCTTTTTTTTTTTTTTGCAGTACGCGGGCCTCTCACTGCCGTGGCCTCTCCCGATGCGGAGCACAGGCTCTGGACGCACAGGCTCAGCGGCCATGGCTGACGGGCCCAGCCGCTCCACGGCATGTGGGATCTTCCCGGACCGGGGCACGAACCCATGTCCCCTGCATTGGCAGGCGGACTCCCAACCACTGCGCCACCGGGTAAGCCCAGTTTCTGCACTCTTAACCATAGAGAACGACCACTGTGAATTATACTTACGAAGTCTCAGAAAACTCTGTCTTTCTTTTAATGAGGAGAAGAAGGTAATTTGGAGGATGGAAAGTAAAAGAAAAGTTAAAGTTGAGTCAGATTTGACCTAGAAGAAAAAGTCACAGGAAAAAAAGATATTGAGGGGAATGGGGACAATCTGATACAGGATAGGGACTAAACTTTAAAACAAAGCAAAAACAAAACATGTTTCTCATAAAGCAAAAAAAGAAAGAAAGAGAAGAAAAATCTGTCTTTGTTAAGTAAGAAACATGGCAGTTACTCAGAGCATGAATAGAGTAATTTTTCCAGGCATGGCAGGTTCCCCAATTCTTCTAGCTATTACTCAGGAAGAAAACGGGAGACGCTGATGGAGCAGGCCTTTCCAGAGCAGTGGCTCGCAAGCCTAAATGCACATTAGAATCACCTGGGGAGACTTTTAAGAACTATTGATGCCTGGACTCACCCACTGAGCTTCTGCTGTAGTTACTTTGAAGAGGGTCCCAACACCACATTTGTGAAAAATTCCCCAAGCGACCCTACTGGGAGACCAGGTCTAAAGCACTGCTTTACAGGAAGAGTATGGTTAGGAGAAATAGAATTTTGCTAGAGAAGGGACAAGATCTGTAATAGGAAGCCCTGGATTTTATTAGTCCAGACTCTGGGTGGATCATTAATTTCTCTTTCTCTCTGTCTCTGTATTTTCAAAGGTGAAATGAGATCTAACAAAGCTGTTAGAAACACAAAAAAGAAAAATGGCTGAGAAGCACTTCATAGTCATAAAGTAATACACAAATATTTATTTAATGCCACCACTAGGACCTTCAATCTTTTAGGTCTGGTTTCATATTTTGTACAGAACCCCACACAGAAAATGATTAACATGTGCCAAATGAAAACACATTTTCATGTTAACAAATCCAAAGTGGAACAAAAGAAGCAATTAGGAAGCAGACAGTGATCCCCCTATAATGGGAAATGGTCCCAGAGAGATGGGCTGGTAACCTTAGGAGCAAAGGCTCTTCATTAACTCTCATTTTAGTTAACTGCTATATTCACAAACTATTTAATCAACACGAAAGTACAATCAATCTCAATCTCCCTGCTAAGGCAGGCTAGAAATTCTGGGCCAGAAATAATTTAGCACCCCAGATTTTCATCATCTGACAAAATCTGTCCTTTCATTTCAGGGCTCTTTTGCAAGGTCTTCAGGTCCTAAATTAACTCCTGCCAAAGCTAAAATACTTTATTCCTTTAAGGGAGATGTCTCCAACACCCAATTTATTGCTTTTAAATATAAATTCACAACAAAACATGAATTAGCCTATCATGATAGATAATTATTTTAAGGTCAAATCAATGCCTGGACTAAACTTTAAAAATAGGTCTGGTCAAAAGAAAGGAGTGTTCCCTATAAAATCCACCTGTATTTGCAATTAATTTTCTGAATTACAATTTCCAACAGATATGAGCTGGGTACTAGGTAGTGTAGGAGTTCTCTCTGGGAGAAAAGCATTGTCTTCTGTCACTTTCTGTTAATCACTCTTCCTCCATAGCCAAGGGAACACCTTGGGCTGGACTGAACTCAGAGAAGCTGACACTTTTTCTCAGAATCCAGCCTGTTCTCAGTTGCAGTCCACACCCTGTTCAGAGGTCCGTTTAGCTTTTCAACATCCAAGACAAGGAGGAAAAAGTCTAGCTGATAAGAATTGTTTTCCACCAACTTGGGGCGATGCTATTCATGCAAGATTTCATGCACGAAGACTAATAACTAAGAAAACTGAGACAAGCACTAGCAATCCTATTTCTTATTTTCAGTTACTGAGTCTTTAAAGCTTAGAGTCTGCATCTAGGATAAGGCTCTTCAATTCATGAGGCCAGGAATGTTAAGTGATTTGTCTAATGTCCACAGAAATCTCTGAGGCAGGACTTGAACTCATCTTCTAGCTCCATGTCTACCACACCACACTACCTTGGCAATCCCTCATGGAACATGTTTAGTGCCAGGTCAGTTTCCCAGTCATGGCCAAATGGTAACTGTTGTCAGGTGGAAAGGGTATTGAATTGCGGATGAGATCTGGGTTCTAGCCCTTGCATTGCTCTGTGTGTGTGGGTGTGTGTGTGTGAGAGAGAGAGATCTTTAAGAGATCTGGCCTCTTTACTAGTTTCTGGTTCAGTTTGTTCACCCCACCCCATGGAAAACCCCACATGCTGACTCAATTCTACCATCTGCCTCTTCCTGTACGAGGTACAGCTCTGAAGGGTGTCACAGAGCAGAGTTGACAAGTGTCATCACAAATCCATGGTTTCTAATCTCAGTGCTGCTCAAAAAAGGCCCAATCATCTCCTGAAATCTCTAATAATCTTATTCTCAATCTTTTTGCTTCTACGCTTGCTCCTTTCCAAACTGCTCTTCATAAAGCAACTAGTCATCTCTTTAAACATACACACAACCATGCCATTTCACTGATCACGACCCTTTAATAGCTTCTCTTTGCACTATGAATAGAATCCCAACTTGTTCCACACCTACAAGGTCCTGCATGTTCTTGCCCCCCATCTCCCTCTCAGACCACACCTTAGACCATTATCCTCTTTGTTAGTATGCTCCAACCACAAAAGTCCCCTTTTAGTTCCTCACACATGCCAGATTCATCTTTCCTCCTTGTTATGGACTGAATGTTTGTGTCCCCCCCCACCCCCCAAACTCACACACTGAAGCCTTAAACCCCACTGTGGCTATATTAGGAGATGGGGTCTCTGAGAAAATAATTAAGGTTAAATGAGGTCACAAGGCTGGGGCCCTGACCCTATAGGATTAGTGTCCTTATAAGAAGACACATTAGAGAGCATGCTTTCTCTCTCTGCACAAACACTAAGATCATGTGAGGACATAGCAAGAAGGTGGCTGTCTATAGGACAGGAAGAGAGGCCTCACTAGAAACCCAGTTTGCTGGCACATGGATCATGGACTTCTAGCCTCCAGAACTGTGAGAAAAGAAATTCCTGTTGTTTAAGCCACCCAGTCTGTAGTATTTTGTTATAGCAACCTAAGCAGAGTAATACACTGCCTCAGAGTTTTAAACATATGCTATTTCTTCTTTCTGGAGCTTCCTCTCCATTCTTCCTCTTTCCTTCTTTTCTACTTCCTTACTTGTTGTTCTAATATGCCTTCCAATTGGACCACTGTAATAAAACAGCTCTCCCAAAGGTCACCATTTTACCAAAACCAATGGGTATTTATCATCTCATTTTACTGGACCCTTTCAGTTCCATATGACACTGTAGACCCCTTAGTTCATGAACACTCTTCTTCCTTGGCTTTGATTTCACTACTTTCTCTAGGTATTTCTCTAACCATTTCCTCAAGATTTCATTCTGGAGCTCCTTAAATGTTTGTGTTCTACTTGATCTTGCCCTTGGCTCATAGTTCTTTTCTGTTTAATATCCTCCTTGGGCAACTTCATCCATTCTTGTGGTTTTAATTCCAATAGTGTGTTGATGATTCCCAAATCTATCTCAGTCCTCTAAAGTAGATTTGAATATCCAATTGGCTGCTAACCATCTCTGCTTGGATAGTCCACAGGCATCTTAAACTCAAGATATCTACAAGTGAACACTTTATCTCCCTCTGTAAACCAGCCTGTCTCTTTAAATTCGCAAGCTCAGTTCATGGTGCCACCCGTGGTCTGAACAAAAAACATGGGGTCATTTGGGGCTCTCCCCTCTTTCTCACTCACTGCTCTTTTTTTTTTTTTCAGGTACCAGAGATAAATTGAAATCAGTCATAATTAGCCATTATTTCACTCTCATTATGTTAGAGCCTTTGCAATAACAATATGCTCCCATGGTTCCTTTTTTTCCTCTAGGCAAAGATACCTACCTTTCCCTCTTTGAAGTGCTTCTTGAGCTGCTTCTGCATGGCAGTCAACTTCTTGGACTGTACCCCACTGTAGGCCAGCAGCATGCCACCAAACTGCCTCTCGGTGATTCTCCCATCCACAGGGTCATGGCGTTCAAACTGGGAAGGGAACAGA